GAAGAAGGATTGTTTGAAGTTTAAGAATTGGCTGGAAAAGAAAGGTAATTTATTTGCTTTTGTTTGTTATGAATCTAATATGACTAGTACTAATCATAACACATGGTGGATTGATTCTGGATCTACAATCCATGTTTCTAATACCTTACAGGGTATGCAAAACCTAAGGAAACCGATGGGAAGTGAGCAATGCATCTATTCAGGAAGCAAGATGAGTTCACATGTGGAGGCCGTTGGGACATGCAATTTAGTTTTGAGCAGTGGTTTTATTTTAAATTTAGAAAAGACTTTTTATGTTCCTAGTTTTAGTAAAAACTTGATTTCTATTTCGCAACTTGCACCTTTGGGTTTTTCTTTTAAATTTATGGATTCTGGTTTTACTTTGTTGAATAAATCCAAAGTTATTGGTTTTGGTGAATTACGTGATGGTCTTTACTCTATTAATTTGCAAAATAATGACGCTGCTTATAATTCTATGCATGTTTCTTCTGGGTTAAAACGTTGTGTTATGAATGAGGATTCTTCTATGTTGTGGCACCGGAGATTAGGACATATCTCCATTGATAGAATTAAACGATTAGTAAATGATGGAGTACTTAGTACTTTAGATTTTGCTGATTTTGAGACTTGTGTGGATTGCATCAAGGGTAAGCAAACTAACAAGTCCAAAAAGGGTGCCAAGAGGAGTTCAAACATACTAGAAATCATTCATACAGATATTTGTTGTCCGGATATGGATGCAAATAGTCCAAGATACTTCATCACCTTTATTGATGATTACTCACGATATATGTACCTTTACTTACTTCGTTCTAAGGATGAAGCCTTGGATGCCTTTAAAGTTTTTAAGGCTGAAGTAGAGCTACAATGCGGAAAGCAAATTAAGATTGTGAGATCAGATAGAGGTGGAGAGTATTATGGTAAATACACAGAGAATGGACAAGCACCTGGTTTATTTGCGAGATTTCTTCAAGAACATGGATTTGTTGCCCAATACACTATGCTTAGTTCTCCAGATCAAAATGGTGTGGCAGAAAGAAGAAATCGAACATTAATGGATATGGTGAGAAGTATGAGGAGTAATGCAAAACTTCCTCAATTCTTGTGGGCTGAAGCACTTAAAACGGCTGTGTATATAGTAAATTGAGTTCCAACCAAGGTTGTTTCAAAGACACCTTTTGAGTTATTCAAAGGTTAGAAACCCAGTTTACGACATGTACGTTATTAGCAATACAAATCATGGTTCACTTTGCATGGTGATCAAATTACATTACACATTACAGCATATTAATCAAAGTACACTACGTGAGATTAAAAGACGAACAAGAAAACTACACTAAGGCTACTCCTAAAAAGAGAAAAGAAAAGGGGCCAGGAAGCAACCATACCCAAAAACGATTCTGTGCACGAAAGCCATATGCGCAGTGAAGACTCATAGGAAAAGAAAGATGGGGGAAAAAGAGGTCGGGGGGGACCTCCGCCCCTCGAGAGGCCGAGGAGGTGACCTCCAAGGCTGCTGATGTCGACGCGGTCGACCTTACAGGGAGTCCGCCGCCTGAGGGAGCTCCCCCAGTCAACGCCGAGGAGGTTGCCACCGCTGTCGAGCAGGTCGTCCAGGCTGCCGAGGTTGGTGCCTTGCCTTGTGGCTTTCTTTTTATACCTTCTCTTCTTGGCTTTCTGACATAGTATCACCTTTTGCAGGCGGGGACAGCTGCTGAGATCCTGGTGCCTCCGAGCTCGAAGGCGCCAGGCGTGGGCACCCCTGTTGTCGAGCAGGGGACGCCAGCTACTGCTTTTGCTGAGGCTCGCGGTAAGGGACCGAGCTCCGAGGTCCCAATGTCCACTCCTGCGACGTTGGCGCTGCCAGCTGGCTCGTCAAAGGGGGCCTCCAAGAGTCAGTACCTTGCCAGCCGTTTCGGGAAAGGTCACTCCCTGACGCGGTTGGACCACGTGAGCACGTCGGAGGACATCGACTCGCTGTGGAGTGTGGGAGTGACTTCAGAGAAGTTCTTCCCTAAAGGTTCGCCGAGTTTGGCGGATCGGGCCATGATCGAGACGATCGGGCCGGTTGAGGGCCTTCATTCTGTCGAGGTCTTCCTGTAGAGGGGCATGGCCATCGTGGATCACTGGAAGCACAAGTGGTCCAAGCAGCAGGAGGACTTGGCGAAGCTGAAGGGCTGGGTTCAACCTTTGAAGGAAGAGGCCAAGGCTTTGAGGGACGAAAACTGGGCCCTGGCGGGTGCTCTAGGGGATGCCAAGCTGCAGAATAAGACCGAGCTCCAGGCTACCAGGAGGGAGTTGGAGAGGGTCCAGAAGTCCTTGGAGATTGCTCTGAGGTCTAATGAGACCTACGCTGCCCAGGTCCAGGAGTTGCAGGAGCTCGTCAACTCTTCCCGAGCTCAGGTTCGCTCTTTGGAGGATGAGGTCACCGCATAGAAGGCCGAGTTGGTGGCAGCGGTAGAGATACGTCTTTGTGACGAGGTGCTTCTCGGCGGCCAAGCAGAGGAGAATACTGCTTTGAAGGTGGACCTTGCAAAACTAGAGGAGGCGAAGGCGGGGCTGGAGAGGAAGCTTGAGGAAACTGAGCGGGTGTTTACGGTGGAATTAGTTTGTACGGATTCTTTTTATTCGAACTAGCACAAAAATGTTTCAATTTAGGTATTTCATTTTTTTATGAATTTATGAAATGTGACGCAAGAAGAGAGACCGAGTTGGAAGTTCTAATGATTGCTTGTTCTAAATATTCATTAATTATTATCAAGCAATAATGTTCATGTATATAAATACTCAAATGTACGGAATAAACAACACATATATTAGCAATACAAATCATGGTTCACTTTGCATGGTGATCAAATTACATTACACATTACAGCATATTAATCAAAGTACACTACGTGAGATTAAAAGACGAACAAGAAAACTACACTAAGGCTACTCCTAAAAAGAGAAAAGAAAAGTGGCCAGGAAGAAAGTGGAAGTCGAAGTAAGCATATCGACATTAAATATCTATCCATAAGAGAATGTTTTAAGGAAAAGAAAGTTGTCATTGAGCACGTTAGCACTAAGTTAATGATTGCTAATCCTTTAACTAAAGAAAGGCATGCCACCAAAGAATTTTAAGGATCATGTAACTCGAATGGGACTTGGTTCCATGATGTGACAATCATTGTAATTACTTGTTAAAACTCTTATTTAGTTTGATGTTTTCTCATTTATCTTGTGCACATACCTATTTACTTTGAGAAAACTCATTAATTGTGACCTGGAATAAACGTATGGTTTATTCATTAGAGCTAAGAGCTTAGGATGAGAGACTTAATATATTGTGATACATGGGAGATAATACTCATTATCAGAGGACCTATCACCATGATTCATATATTTGGTTTCCTATTTGATTGATAATTGGATAAATGGACCAAGTGGGAGAATGTTGGCATATATGTCATTTTGAAAAATTGTTTTTGCAACAGTAGCACATTTGCAACAGCCGCGTAAAAGGAAACAACGTGCTTCCAATTTTCACGTTGCGTTCCTGATTCTTCTACTTGTTGCGGTTAACATATCATGAATGTGGTCCATTTTTCAACCCATTATCAAATAACTTGCGGATATGGTACCATGATTCCTGCACATTTTCTCCAACGTTCAAAAAGGCTCTACGATGGATTAGAGTTTTATAAATTGGACGCGTATCTCTGTTTTTGGGTCACTGAGCTTACTCTCCTCTTCAGTATACTACACCATCGTGTATTGAGAGCAAGGGTTCAGAAACCTGAAGAAACAAGCGAACAACAAAGACTGGTGTTTGGTCCGTTAATTTCCGCAATAAGGAGAATGATCAGAACGTGTTTGTTTTTTTATTTTTGCCATGTTTAGATCTTTAGAATATTAGTTCTTCATAAACAAGCATGTGACTTGAATTCCTACACCACAAGAAAATATTTCGTTGAATGTGGATGGCAGCATAAACAAGGACCCTAATGTGGTCAAGCTTGGAGGGCTTGGACGTGATTGGCATGACAAGTTCTTATTCGGTCTTCATGGGAAGGATCAATGGGTGGATATACTATATGTAGAGGTCATAGTTGTGTTGCACGGACTTCAATTGTGTTGGAATTTGGGGTATTGAAATGTGTCCTACTATTCAAATTCTTTGTTAGTGATGAACATGTTTGAGGGTGCAATTTGTATTTATCATAGGTTTGCTAATGAAATTTTTCTCAACCAATGGCTAATGGCTATGGATTAGGAGTGCAACCTTGTACATTTGTTTTTATGAAGGAAGTCAATATGCAAATTTGTAAGCGAGGATTGATTCTACTTCAACTGATTGGCTAGAAGTGTTATATGAGGTGCCAAATTTGCTAAAAGATAGTTTTGTGGGGAGCCACATTTCCTAGAGAAACCTAGTTTTGTTCTTTATTTTGGTTCTTGTTTTCTTTTTGTTTTCTTCTCATTTGTAGCCAAAAATACCTTTAAGGTATCCATAATTAATGGTATGAATCCCCACTTGCATGGCATGCATAGCTTAATTCCCCCCAACCAATGTTAGCAAATGGAATGTAGCTAATTGTCCCCATCCAACCATCCCTCCACTGGGGCTACGAGAAATTGAAGGTACCAATTACTTCTTTTGTTCCTTTTTATAAGTCAGATTTTTAAGTAAAATTTTATTTCTATTTATTTATCATTTTTAAGTTTTAAGACTATTAATTGTTACGTTATTAATTACATTCTTACTTTTCATCTCACGTTTAATTAATTTACACATGACAATTAATATATATTTATTATGAAACAAAAATAAAAGATAGTATAATAAAAAAAACATAAATATCATTCTATTAAAAATAGAAAAATTTACGTTTTTTTAAAAACAATCTCAAACGATTATTAAAAAAATACATGAAATAGTATTTCTTACTCCACCTTATCTTTATTACTGTTATTCTCATCTTTCTCTTTTATTATACGTTGCAGAAAATAATGATATATATAAATGCTAGCAAAATTTGTAAACCATTTCATTTAACATTTCTGCTTTACACTGAATTATTTGAAACAACTCTTGATTGGTAGTATTATAGCTTTCGTCATGAACTATTTTTGGATGCTTTTATTCTCCTATTTATCTCTTTCTCCAGCTCTTCTAGCCCTCCCACCTTTTCAACTTCCTGCATAACACACCCTATTAAATTATTTATAGTTACATAATATATATATATAAAGTAGCAATTATAAGATAAACTAAAACCCTAAATAAATAAAAACATGATAAAGAAACAAGAATGCAACTCTAACCTTTGGTCCCAAAAACAGCCCATATGGCACCCCATCGAATTTCTCCGAATGGTGAAGCTGAAATGAAGACAAGAATAGTATCACGGATATCAGAACAATGAAAATGAACAGAAAAAAACACCTCTTATTTCGGCCCTTGTTATTAGAAAATGAATATGAACATGCCTTAATAATAATGTTACGAGTCTTAGTAGCAATCAGTGTGAATTAAAAAAGTGAGAACATTTTCTAATGTTGCATAATGTTATCTTAATGATAAGGAAAATTACTTGGTGAGCAGCGGCCACTCTTCTGAAATAGGGCACGTTGGCAATGGGGCCCACAGGGAATCTTTTATGAACCAATCCATCGTGTACAAACATGTAGGCCATCCCAAAGACAGTAATTCCAAGACCCTGTTCATAGTTGAAGGTATCTTAGTAAAAGTGTTCAATCACATTAAAGTCTAGGTAGCAATTATTGTTGGTAACCGTCCACCATGAGAGACTTGCCAATGAAACCGTTAATTAAGAATATCACTCCCAATCAAACTCTATATTACCAAGATCAAGTGATACAGAAAATAAAAAAGAAAAAAGACCCAAATTTTCAGTGGGTAAGACACAGATTTTTATTTTATTTTTTTTATAACTTGATTAAGGGTACAAACCAATATCATATGTCTCACCAATGTCAACATACTGTGTGAGAAAATACCTGAATTTAATTCTCCATTAATATAAAACCCTGTACATTCAATTATTCACTTAGTTTTTTTTTAAAAGAAAAAAACAAAATAATAGAATTAAGATAAAGGGCTACATATTTTCTTAAAATTGTATATTCTTTTATAAATAAGTTATCAATACAAAATATCACCCACTCTATTAGAAATTTGGCTAACCATTTTAGTATTTAATCATATTTTTTTCATTTATAAAATTCGTTATTAAGAACTTGTTTAAAAAAATCAAATCTTTAATTAAAGAAACCATTTTTTTTTTGGTAAAAAATATACTCGAATGATAGACTTATTATTTGAAACGGGGAAAATAATATATAAATAAATTAAATTAAATAAAAAAGAAATTATTAGATTAGAATTTGAGAATACACGCACCGCACCGAAGCAGAGGCCAGGGACCAATCCCTTATGAAAGAAACAATAGGCAAGGAGAGCGATGGCAGGAACAGCATTGATTATTGCGAATACATCGTTAAGCTCGAAGGGTCCTTCTCTTGGTCGATGGTGGGACTGCAATTGAAGTAAATATTTTTGTTACTTTCTGTTTCACACACTTCTGTTTCACACACAGATCAAATAGTTTATGGTTATTGTCGCTGAGGCATCCCAACGTCTAAGTCTAACCAAAGCCAAACATTTTTTATTGTGGCTCTTGGACTTTGTGGTGTTAGACAATTAGACCCAAAAGAAATGAACCCATGATTAACCATCAACACAGTTTGAATCTTGATGCTTAATTCTTTCTTACATGTGATGAAAATTGACTTAAGAAGTGATGGAGGGAGACAGGATTCAGATTAAAGATAAAAGAATTGAAAGCATACCTCATGCATGTGCCACAAGGAAGCATGCCAGAGAGCCTCATGAGCCCATCTAGCCCAAAACTCCATACCCACCTGAAAATCAGACATACCCACTTCAATTTATCACCCCAAAATTCTGGATTCAGAACCATCCAAATCTTAATCGGAAATTTTGAACCGTAATTACTCACAGCAGCTCCCACTGATAGAGCAAATGTGCCAAACATTTCGGCCCAAGGCACGTCTCCACCCTACACCAACCAAACCCAATTTCATATTCAGATTATCTTCACATGCCAATGTGAAAACATAATTAAAAAAAAAAAAAAAAAAAGTAGTTTATACACTCACACTACAATCTGTCACACATGATTATTTTTAAAAACCGTAATTTCATAATAATCGACTATATAAAATGTGCTCCTTAGCAAAAGTTTTGGCACATGGATGCAAAGATCGAATTAACATGCATATAAATAAAGTGTATGGAAAAGAAAAGGTTCAAGGTAGGTAAGTAGGTACCTCCATTTGCCACGAGAATCTATAATAAACAGCGAGCACTGCCATGGATGTGATGCCAAAGGTGGACATGACAGCAGCAACGAGGTAAGTGAACCTCTCCGATTCCTTTCTGGCCAATTTCTCAGCCAACTTAGCTGACACGGGTACTTGTTGAGGAGAAAGAGGTTGCTCTGGGGGCTCAATTTCGATGTGGGACCCTTGTTTGGGATCCTGCATGAGGACACAAACGGTGAAGTTCGACAATCTGTGTGTTCTTGGGGAAGTTCTGAGGGGAGAAAAGGGTAGTGTTGGGGTTGGTTTGGGGAAGTGGGGTTGGTGGAAACGGTGAAGGGGCTTCAAGGTTATGGCGGCGGAGAGTCCTACCGCCATGGTGGAAGTGAGAGAGAGAGAGAGAAAAAGAGAGAGATGTTTGTGTGAAGAGGAAAGGTTTGAAGTGAAGGTTTAAAAAGGGGGAAGAACAGAGACCACAACTTTGTGTGTTATGTGTGGAACCATGTCAATGGTGGTTTCATGTGGGGCCTTTTATGGAAAAGGAAAATGAATTTGAGTTTGCATATAAGTGATTGCATGTACAATACACATAAAATATGGTTGTTTCAATTTTAATCACTCTATGCCTATCATTGGAAATTAATTTCTTTATGGATGTAGAGATTAGCAAATTATATTTTGTCCATAACATCACTAATCTATATGTAAATTTTTATCAAAAGGGATCTTCATATTTGATATTTGATATTGTTTTAAATAAGATTGTTTTAGGGAAAAAAATATCTGGAAAATAAATTAAATGTCATTGGATTCATGCTTGTCAAAAACTTTAGCATTAAATAAATTTATTCTCTTTTGTATTTCCTAAATGAGTGTATTTATTTTTAATAAAAACAATTATATTAAAATATAATTTTTTTGAATTGATTCCTAAACTTTGAAAAAATTGTACCAAGTTCATGGAGTTAATTTATAATGGTTTAAAATTGCGACAGAAATCAAATAATAATTTGTTGCGATTTCATTTTACTAATTCTATAAACCTAATTACAAAAATTGTTTAAAAAAAATTAATTACAACTTTTTTTTTTTTTACGTTTAGTGACCAAATTATTAGTTTTCAACAAAAAATGAAACTTCAGAAAATTACTTATAGTAAATTTATCAATTGTTAGTCCATTTATCTCTTAATAAGTGTTATATTAGGAAGAAAAAAAAAGCCATATTAACTTTTATATATAGTATTAATTATCTTTGTATTTATATACCTAATAATATTATATATAAAAATATTTTCTTTTTGTATTGCATCATTTCTAATAAATAAAATTATTTTTATAAAATTATTTTTTCATTTATTTATTAGTTTTTATTAATATTATTGTGTAAAATAAGACGATATTTATTATTAAAAAAAGTAATATGTTTTTTTTATATATATTATGACCCGTCTAATCGGCTGCCACATTCTAAACAATCATTCAAATAAAAATAATCATAATTTAATTAACTAATAATTATTTTTTATATTTAATAATTACTTTAATTATTATAGAAAAAAATACTTTAATTATTCTTATAATTTATTAATACATTAAATACTTTAATTAATTTTATAAGTATATTCAATAATTACATTAATTTTAATAAATTATATATAA